TGTCGGTACCAGGAGTCGAGTGCGCCGACCTCCACCATCAGACGTGGGAAATGAGGGAGCACGTCTGCAAAGTAAGTTTTTTGTTTGTTTTTTTCGTAAGATTTGTACGACACTAGCAACACAATAAGGTCAAATTAGCTGTATGGGAGATTATAGAGGTGTTACTTTAGTTTAAGTAAAGTTTTACGGCGCTCGCAATTGCATAAGGTCATACGAGCGCCAAGGGGTGGATGTCAACAGAGAAGTCCAAACGGGGAATCAGTCTTACTTTGCTAGCCTCGACAGCACAAAGTCTTCCTCGACTATCAAGGCACCCCGGAAATAGCGGGTCACAAGAGAGTGACAAACATACAAAAGAAGTAGAGGAAAATGACGATACAAAGGATGAGAAAAAAAAGCAGCAGTTCCCCCTGTTTAGAAAGAAAAATTGTATAAATTTATAGTTTTATTCTGTACATGTTCATTTTGTGAAAAGAAATCGGTGCTGTATATTGAAGATACGTCAGTATATCATTATTCAGGAGGATACACAATCCATTGGATACAAAAAGTCATGAATGCAGGGAAGCGTTTTGGCTATCATGCTCATGACAAGTTCCATGTTCGTGCTGGAAACAAAATTTTGAGTGAGTCAATTTCTAAACACATTGTCCTGTCTTACGTGGCAGTTTTGTACATATTTATTGTTAGGCGGGCTATTAGCCATTCAATATGTGTTTGTTGTTTTGACTAACTATAAATAGACATACATTTTAAGAGCATCTAACTCCAAAACGTGAGCAGCCATGGTATTGCTATTTCGGACCAATAAAGAGGTTTAGTTGCTTTCTCTAAAGAACAAACTTGTGTTCACGTATGATATTTTTCTTTTGTGTAAGACGATAAAACATGTGTTGAAAAATTCATTTCACCGGCTACCGACGCAGGTAGCGGGAGGGCGGGTTAGTGACCTCTGGGTGATCGGCCCGCCGTGACCCGGTCACTCCATCGCCGATCCAACTAAAAGAGCGCTGTTTGTACACCGTGAAGGGGGCTATGCCGAAAAATGCGGTTCTGAGAAAATTGCAGGTAAAGTATTTGTCCCTCATTCAGTTACTTTAACAAAAGACAAGGAAAGTTTTCTCAATAACCAAACAAACATACACACTAATGAAACCAAACTTCTCCTATAGGTAGGGCAATGCCCACTTTAGGTGTATGTCAAGATTTCTGGAAACCCCTGAAATCCAGGTTAACCCGCTTGTCCTTAAAAGCGACCAAATGTAATGTAAACAGACGTTCTCATGACCTCTCACCTTCCTGTGAGTTTATCGGGTTCTTCTTGTAACTCAGCTCAAAGTGGAACGGGTAACTGAAGTAGGCAATCTCTGTCTGTGAAGCAAAAACAGAGAACAAACTGTCAGTAAATTTTAAGATGACGATGATGATGATGATGATGATGAGAGTCACAAAGAATTTTTTTTTGGGGGGGGTAAGTGTTTTACGGCGCTTGCAACTACATAAGGTTATATATGAGAGTGGGGGACACATCAAACATTTCCAGTTGGTAGGACATTTTGAGCTTTGTCCGGGTGGCAGCCGAAGCCTCTTATGGATTTTAGACAACCAAGGGATCCTTAACGTCCGCAACTTGCACACGGGACCTCCGAGATTTTTCGGCCTTGTCCGAGAAGGCTAGGTGTAAATCTCTCCTACCAGAAGATTAGGGGTGTGGCTGAAAGACAGCAGTAAGAAGGAGCCAAGGAGTAGCAGTAGAAAGGCTGCAGAAAGAGTCAGGAGCCCAGAGAAGGGGGCAAAGGAGGTGAGGGGGTGGGGGCAGAGTGAAAGGAGACAATACCCGGATTTGAACCCGGGACCTTTGAATGAGAGGCGAACACCTTAACCTCTAGGCCACAAGAGCTCCCTCACAAAAAATGATGTACAGGAAAGAGGGAAGACATGGAATAATAGCAAGAGGCGTTTGACTAGGATAGGGAAAGGTGGAAAGTGTTTGTTCGTGGCCTAAAACAAAGATCATACATAACAAGATTGTTCACTCAGCCACAAGAGGGTCCTTGGAAGTCCGAGCATTGCTTCAAATGGCGGAAGAGGGCGTGACCGGATTTTGAGGACACTTTTTTAATTGGCTCAAAGAAAGGAGTGAACTATCTTGTTATATACGGTCTTTGCTTATAACCAGATGCAGGGTGAGAAAAGTAGTGATGATGAAATTTTGCATTCTACAGCCAAAAATTTACACACTGAAAATTTCTAAGTGAAAATCAGAATACTGATTTAAATCAAGTCAGGAATCAGAAAGGGAGAAGAGGTGTTTTAGACTAAGAAGTCAAAGAATGCATACTTTAACTTGAAATAACTAAAAAGAAAAGGCACGATCTAAGAATCTATTTACTTTGAAGAAGAACAAAAAGTCTTTGGAAAAAAAATTATCCTGGTACTTATGGTACATTGCACACAACCTTTTAATACCTAGAGTGGCATTGCATGGAGTTTACAATTTGCACCTAGAGAGGCACTGCACAGCGTTTCAATTGGCGAACACGCGATACTGCCACAGTATCTATTTCTAGGAAGTCTAGGAAGTTTTTTTTAGCTTTAATAAGAGTTTTACGGCACTTGGAACACAATAAAGTCATATATAAGTGCCGTAAAGATTAGAGGTGTTACTAGAGAGTAACAAACACAAAAAAGAAGGAGGAGAGATAAGGACGATAGATGTTTGATAGGAAAGAAGGAGCAAACCACACTTCTCCTTTTTTTATGTTTGTTACTCTCCTGTAGCACATCTATTCTTGGGCACTTATATGACCTTATTGTGTTGGAAGTGCCATAAAACACTTACTAAAACAAAACAGTCTGAACCCGCTCACCTCGTCCTCCGTCTTCGACCGGCACGTCTGGGTCACCCAGGATAACTGTTGGCTTCTCTCCGCGCTCCAGTCTGCGAAGAAACGAAAACATTACGCGATATTACAAGTCCTGAGATTGTTTTCAGAAACAGAGAACGCATACAGATTCGGACAAATAGTAATCACTCAAAACTTCAGTTCTGTGTTGCTTGTTGCTTTTATAGTGCTACAATCGGACCACACAGGTTGAAAATCGATATGTGAGGCAGCGTGGTAGAATCAGGCTCTCGTCAATTTTTGGGGATGTAGAGTTATTGGTACCATCTTAAATCGTGTTCACTTGCCTTTATTAGGCTGAAAAAATATCCATTATCTTGAATACAAGTCGAGATATTTGCGAATGAAGGAGCTTGGGGTCATCTGTTCTCAGAGGTAAAATTAGTGAGAATACAGCCGCCAAGAGTAGTTATTTCCTTAGCTTAAGAGTCCGTGATAACTGCAAAATTTTCATTTTTGGTGCATTTAATTAACGTTTTAAAGAAAAATCCGGACAGAAATGAGTTCTTTAATGGGCATGAAAGGTGTGAGCCAAAAAACAAAATTTCGATAAAAATTCACAAACCTGCCAAAAAATGCCAGTTTCTTCACTTTGATTATTTTGACGAGAGCCTGATTCCACCACGCTGCCTCACATATAGATCTAGTACTTCCACCCAAAAGTTACAGAAAAACTGTAAATAAATGTTCTTTTTCGCCCACTGCTTGGTCTATATGAGATAACGAGAGTATAAAATGGTGTAAACTTATGTCCTATTTAATCCACGGCTTTACCAAAAACAGGTAATGATCATATGAAAATTGCTACGTTTCCTCAGTGTTACATGACCCCTTCAAACCGTCCCTGTTGTTTTATGCACCCCGCATAATTTAGCAAAATTTGATCAATTTTTGCATAATTTCTGATTATATTCCTTTATCATTTTTTGTTAAGATTAGCAGAATCGCATAATTTCACTTTTTTTTGGCTCAGTTTGCATAATTTCAGAATTTTTCTTGCATAAAACGATGGGGACAGTTCCAAGTAAAACATAACAAAGAGGTAGACACGGCCTGTCAGACATTGGTACGTCGTGCACAATCGTAGAAGCTGACAGTCTGTCCCCGTCGTTTTATGCAAGAAAAACTTTGAAATTATGCAAACTGAGCTCAAAATTGTGAAATTACGCGATTCTGTTAATTTTAACGAAGAATGATGCAGGAAATCATCAGAAATTATGCAAAAAATGATCAAATGTTACTAAATTATGAGGGGTGCATAAAACCATGGGGACAGGCTAGTATTTTGGGGCTGTCAGTTTTAGAGAGGTAACGGAATCTGACAGCTGATTTTCAGCCTATTTCTTTAGTTCTTACAGTACAAATTAACTTCTGTGATACACAATACATATTCTGATATTTTCTGTAACCAAAAAAATAAAAACCTTTATCATAGATTCACAGAGCTGGTGGTCTCTTAACCCTATCCGTACGTTGTGTTTCACTATCGTATCCACACGACGAGGGGAACTCTGTGCCACCACTTTCCAAAGAGAAAATGTACGCTTTAATCTGATCCATACGCTTTGCATAGCAGTCTGTCAAAATGATTTTTTGAGAAATACTGAAAGTTTCAAAGAGACCTTCGCACTAGAAGTATATTCTAAAATGTGAATACAACCCCAGGGGTACAAAATGACCCCAGGGCGTACTGATAGGCTTAATACTCTCATTATCCACAAATTAACACAACATCAGAAGTTAAAAAAACCCAACAACTTACTGTATTAAAAGCATTAACACATTCAGATAACAACAATCAGTACCTTTTGGAAGATCGACAAACAGATGGACGTACAGGTTATCCTTCTCAAAATCTTGGGCAGAGACTGAGGAAAAGAGAAGAAGACAAAAAAAAAAGAAAATACACCACAGTTTCCCACAACAGATTCTCCCAGTTTCCTCCACTCCCTAAAGACATACCAAATGAATAAAAAAAATCAAAAAAATCACACTGTTCATTTTTCTTCTTCTTCTTCTTCTTCTTCTTTTTCTTCTTCTATCCCGTAGTTGGGGCAACCGTTGGGGCACCACTGCATTGGAAAACCAGCTCTC